CCATCTTTAAAAAAGCAAGTGGAGGATAGCTATTTTAAAACTGCTAGTGAGGACATGTATAAAGAATGTTCTATCCTTTTATTTACAGAATGCTGAGTGTGACTGTTAACAAATCAAATGGCATTATTTTGGATTGTTGATTCTTATTACTTTCAAGACATTTTTAACAGGATCATATTCTAGATTTTTTTAGTACCAAGTCAAGGATATAATTTCCACAATTTTGAGGTTTCATATGTGTCTTTTAAAACATCAAGCAGGTGGGAAAAATACATTCTACCCCTTGAAAAGCCATGTTTTAATCTCTAACCATTTTTAACTTTGCCACTCTCCTCTTTTTTTCCTCCTCCTTCCTAAAAAAATTGTATTTTAGATGAAAACAGAAATTCATATTTCTACTTACATCCTATAGGCAATTAAAGCAACAACAGCAGCCTGCCATTTGAGCAGGGGAAATACATGAATGTTAAATACTAACAAGGGAACAGTGTTTGATTTTATTACAGGCAAACAGACTTCATGTACTAATTTAATCGATAGGTTCCCTTATACTTTTCTTTTTAAAAACAAGAAACCAGGGCAGCACCTGTGGCTCACAGGAGTAGGGCGCCAGCCCCATATACTGGAGTGGTGGGTTCAAACCCAGCCCTGGCCAAAAACAAACAAACAAAAAAACCAAGAAACCAGGCATAGTATTTCTCCTCTTCCTTTACTATGGGAAAAAATAAATGCTTCAGTTTAGTAATCTATTTCCCTTTTGCTATGTATGCCAAGAGTGACAGCCATGTAGATTGCTAACCTATGTCTACATACATACACACACATATATAAACAGTTGGTTCACATATTTGACTGTTTACACATCTGTGACACCTATATACTCTTTTCACATCTTAACCCTTTTCACAACTTCTGCATTTTCTACTGCTCTTATCTGGTAATGGGGATAAAATATTTTTGTATTAGTCTCATTAGATACAATTGTTCCTAATTATTATTGTTCCTTTTGAATCTACCAGTTCTTATTTCATGTGAGATAGGGCTACTGCTATGCAGGGCTGAATAAAACTGATGACAAAGCTGCTCTTCCAGCAAAGACTTTGGTGGGAGAAAAGTTAACAGAAATTTTAAATCAAGGGGAGCCCCAGGCAGAATCTTCAATATCCCCTGATATTTAATGAAAATCTTATACTCATGACACAAAGAGATGAATAAGAAGGTCATCATAAAGGCCAACTAAGATTTCATTATAATTCAGGAGAAACAAACAGAGGCAGTAAAAAGAAACAAGTCTGATAAATATGTACAAAATATATAGTAATAATGTATATCAGCAAAAATACTGATACATAGTGATAAAAGCCTACATCTATATGTTAACACAAATATCTTCTAAACTATCTGTATACAGTTCCATTAAAGAGTTCAGGATACACTACAAGTTGTTTTCTGTATACTTTTGTAAGAACATCTATGACTCTTTAATCAGTTCATTTTTCACAGGTTTTTGAAAGAGAAAGAGATTAGTTGGTGTGAACCAAAAGAGAACCAACAGGCTTCAGACTAATAGCTTTTGTGTTTGTAGATACATCTCTATATAAAATCAATATCATTTCTAAAGAGAAATGTGTCTGAGTGTACACTCATATCGCATATTTCATACACAACACTTACGTGTGTGGTGCACCATACAGCTTTAATGATTATGGAATCTGAAAAATGCAAGACATTACATGTTATAATCATTAAAATGATTAAATAATTTTGCTTTGTCGAATGAAAAAACACATACTTCAGACTTTGAATTGAAGACTGTTTTACTGTTGGGAAATTATACTTAAATGTTTTTTTTTATTCCTTCTTATGCATCTACCCCAAAATAGGAAAAGTCATATGTGTACAGACAAAATCTTAGAATTGCTTCAGATTTGGTAGGTTACTCCTAAGCCATCATTACAAACAACAGCTCCTTATTTTATGGATAGTCTTCTGAAATAAAATAATACAAATGAAGTTTTATGTAGGAATGGAAAGAAGAGTATAATAAATCAAATCTACCTCCCCAGAGAAAATTTCTGGATGTAATTTGTTCATTTTATAGGAATGAACAGAATACCTTCTTAGTGGGCACAACAAACAGTTAAATAGGGGTTCTGGGTCCAGGGAGAGCCTTAAAAAGAAGGCTTACATATAATCATCTTCCCATCCCTCATAAAGGGAACAGGGGTTCATGTAGCAGAAGCGCACTCAGAGGGAATTGGGATGACAAAAAAGAAGGGTGGGTGTAGTGAGGTGAGATGAAAGACTCAAAGAAGGTCTTTTCAGTTTCAAAAGGGTGCAGATGCCATGAAAGGTCTATATACCAGCTTAGAATAACACTCTCCATTTGGAGAACATTAATAAAATTGGGCCTCCTAAAATGAAACCTGCTCCCCCTACTCTGGATGCTTTCCCCAAGCCTTTTACCACGAATTGAGGTGAGATTTGTATGAGTGTGGCATGGGCAGGTGAATAGGCCTAATTGTGTATTTCAGGGCTGAGCTGAAAGGCCAGAAGTCAGAAGAAGAGAATCAAAAATCTAAACAGTGACTAATGATTTCTGAACTGAAGCAAAGCAGAGGCACTGCTCACCCAGGAATGTGCCTCTGTTTAAACATTCCACTTCACACAGTACACAATAAGGCCAGGAGAAGAAAACAGATACTTTTTTGAAAAATGGTTTATTTAAACCTTTTAATCTTTTACAACAATAAAATATAGTGTAAATATAAATCCCTTGACTAAAACTGTTCACATCAAATATTACTGTAAATTGTTTTCTTTTTGACATCCAACTCCTCTTTGAAAGAATTTTCCTTTAAACACAATGCAGAATTGGTTGAAAATAAATAATTCTTGGCAACTACATTAGGCAATTTGAATAAAATAGTTGAAAAAGCAACTCTTAATGAAAATAGCATTTATTATACATCAGTTACTAAATGAATAAACTAAATGATCTTTCTTTAAATTAATAACTTCAAAAACATGTAATATACAAAACTGTACAATTATAAAGTTGGCAAAAATATTTGGGTTAACTCAGGATTCAATCAGCCTTTAATTGTAAAGAAAAATATGTCGAATAAAACAGAAAGTCCCCAGTTGTAAAATGTGAACTCAATATAGAAAAAAGAATTCCCAGAACTAAAAGCTAACTGCTAACAGAATGCAGAAGCAACCCGTCAGGGATATGAATTAGTACATGCTCTTCCATCTGCAGCTGGGGGAAACACAGTATGGTGGACCAAAAGCCTGGCAGTCTGTAATAGTACATCTTCCACAGGGAGCCTAAAGGCTATCTGGTCCTTAGGTAGTTTTAAGCTTTGTGTAGCTCAGTTGCACCTAAAACTCAGCAGGACAGCAATCAAAAGTGTGTTCTGACACACTAGCCAGGTCTGGTGGACAGCAGCTGGGTGTTGCGTGCTTGGCTGGTCCCAAACGTGTGTGTTCCTTGAAAATGAGGTGTGTCTGTGGACCTGGAGTGTAGGCATGAGAGCTAGCAATAAAGCCACAGCAGCGGCATATTTTTAGAATCTCTACACAGCCTGTCAAGATTTCTTTTTTTTGTAGTTTTTAAAATATATATAGTATCACGATACACACAGCTATCTACACACACGTTTGCAGGCACACTCAAGCACACACGCACAGAGACACACACACATGGAGATTTAAAAAAAAAAGCAGGAACCCAGCTTCTGGGGCGCTCCTACTTCCCTCACTCCTCACTGTGAGCTTCCACCAGCTGTGCTTGTTAGAAACCCAGAGATAGCTCCCCAGGAGCTCACTCACGGACAACAGAGAAGAGGTGTTACAGTGGAAGGACTAGAATCCCTATGCAATTTTTCTTTTGTCCTTTGGCACTGAGCAGAGAGTGCCTGTCTCCTATTTCCACCTTATCCCTCCCCAAAGGTTTCTCACTCAGAAAGGGCTGGGATCTGGATTTGAACCAAACTGAGTGGTCCTGGCCAAGTCTTTCGCCAGTGTCTCTAGGTAGTGGTCTCCAACGAAACCAATCACATGTGAAAGCAGTCTTTCCTCTATAAGAGCAAGTGGGGTCACTCTAGAGAGATTTGCAGTCGGCCTGTGGGGAGCTCCGCGCGGATCCTGGTGGGTGCAGAGCACTCCACACCTCTCAGACAATCTCCTTCGCCCCGCCTTGCTGCTAGTACTTCTCAGGCACATTTATGCAGTGGAAGCCTGGGAGGGGGGAGCGCAACATTTCTAGGAGGTAGGGCAGAAACTTTAAAATTCCTCCTTCTATTTCGAACTAGTTTGAAAATCCAATAGGCTTTCGTATTCTGCCCATCCTAGGCATTCCATTCCCCCAGTAGAAAAAAAATTTCAGCAACTCTCTTCATTTTATCCTTTCTTCTCCACACAGATTCTTGAGAGGACGGTGAATGGGTAGGCATCTCTCGCCTCCTCCTCCCGTCTTCCATTTCTTCCCCCTTCTCTAAGCAATTAAAATATCAGCTCAGCGAAGGAATAATAATAATAGCAATAGGAATGTGGAGTGGTCAATTAGATACAAAGTATCTCACAAATATTGTGCACATCCTGTAGTAAAACACCGCAGACATTTAGAAACGTTATAGAATTTTTTAAAAATCCAAAACTAGTCTATTGTAAAACAGATTTCACCTGAAATACAGCTGCTATAACCAAGGCGCTGAAAGGTTATTCAGAGGCACACATTCGTCTTCCCACCCTCCCGTTTTCCCCATCCCTCCCCCCACATTACTCACTCCTTGTTCTTCCAAAAGAAGAGTGACCAAACAAACCTTACTCATAGTAAACCATATATATTGATCAGCAGAAAAGGATGGAGGGAACCGTTGCCCAGGCAGCAAGGAATATGAGGTCCTTGCCAGGACTGCTTAATATAACTGTGTATCTGGAATGAGAATCCTGAACGTGTTCCTCTCTCAACTTAAATTAGAATTCTCAGTAAAAGAAAAAGAGAGAGGAAAAGAGGGATGGGGGAGATGGAGAGGGTGAAAGAGAAAGCTCACTAGAGAAATAACGATAAAGAATGTTAGAGTGTAAGGGAGGGAGTGAGAGTGAAAGAAAAGTCTGCCCTGCTTCCAGTGTGACTGACTGCCTCCTTGCCTCCTCCAGTCAGATATCATGGCAGGACGTGTCTGTTTTCACTGTGTGCGAATAAATCTCATGCAGCTGCTGATCTCCTGGTGGAGTCATTCTTTTCTCTTTTTGTCGTCGATTACAGAACCAGACGCGTACCACTTCTTTCTCCAACTGGAGACTATCTGCTAGCGAGGAAATCTCCTGTGCAGCAGGCTTCGGACACTTGAGAAAATGAGTCTCTAGTACACCCTTGACACTCACCTCGATGGAGGTTCGCTTCTTACGCTTGCGGCCCTGAGCAGCGATCTTGTCAATGCTGGTCGGGCTCCCTGTGGACGAATCTGCCTCCTCTAGCCACTTGTTCAGCAGGGGCTTCAGCTTGCACATGTTCTTGAAGCTCAGTTGCAAGGCCTCAAACCTGCAGATGGTGGTCTGCGAAAACACGTTGCCATACAGTGTGCCCAACGCCAACCCCACGTCGGCTTGTGTGAACCCCAACTTGATTCTTCTTTGTTTGAATTGCTTGGCGAACTGTTCTAACTCATCAGAAGTTGGTGTCTCCTCATCTGAGTGGTCCTGGCAGTGGTGTGATCTAAGTTCGCTATGGTCAGGGGGCTCCCGGAGCACCGGATGCAGGCTCTGTGCAGATGTGGCGGCCGGCGGTGGAGAGAGTTCCCCATGCTCCAGCATACCGCTCACCGTAAAGCCTGGCTGCGAGTACACATTGAGGGGTTGGCCGCTTGACGTGATGGACGAGTTCGGAGCCGGGCTAGCTCCCCAGGCATTGGGGTGGTTAGTGTGCGGTGAATGATGGGCTACAAGTGGTGAACGGTGATGGATGATCGCACCTAGCTGCAGGTCTTCCCGCCCAGGCTTCACGTCCTGCTGTTCCATAGGGCTGGTGGCCAGTGTGGAGGACCACGGGCTACCATCGCTCAGACTAGTCACCCAGTGATGCCCGAGGGGATGCGCATTACTGGGAACTCCCTGCAAGTAATCACTTTGGAGAAGTTTCTGAGTGTTACGAAAAGGACTCCCCTGCTGCATGCCGAAAGAGTTCGCATGGACCAGGGAGCTAGAACTGAGAAGGCTGTAGGGATTAGAGGCAGCTGTGGCCATAGTCGGTGAGGATCGCCTACTAGTTATAATGCCGCAAAGGGAGCTGCTTCAGCCTTTGACATCTTCGGTGCCGGGGAGCCAAAGTCGCTAGCTCGGGTTACCGACACCTGCCTCAGCCATTAGGAGCGCGTCTCGGACTGGCCAGGCCTGAGCACAACCAATGGTGACGCAGGAGGCTGGGCTCGCTTTCCAAATCAGGCTGGTGAAGCTCAGGAGTTTCAGAGAGACCCAAGCAGGAAGTGAATCAATCTTTCAGCTCCATTGGCTGCCTAGCAGAGTGGCAGAGGTTCATTTGATTAACCCTTTCCCCTACTCATCTTGGAATATGAGGGTGTTTATGGTGGACGGAGAAGGATGAGAGGGGGAGGGAGGTGAGGTGGCAAACTGGTGTTTCAGTGCTCCTTTAAGATTATTTATATTAATCTAAACAGAGAAAGAAAAAGAATAGCAAGGGTTTAAATGTCATTTTGGTCTTAGTGAATAGGGATTTTTCAGACTTGGCATTCTGAGTTGTGTGCGGGAAGAGGAGACTTCAAACTAGACATCTATATAAACTCTGAACAATGTAAAATCTTGCTTAAGACTCTAAATCAATAAAGTTGAAAACTATGATTTTAATAAGAGCTATTTCAAATTATATTATTTATTTCATTTTATTAAGAAACTCAGTATCAAGCTATGAAAGCATCTAAGAAAGGGATGCCCTGTTTCTTCTGAAAAATTATGATTAGAGCAGGAAGAAGTGAAAGATCTTGTAAAGTAAAATCTACTGTGATACTGGCAATATTGAGTTATTTTGAAGTTTTGCTTTTAATACAGCTGGTCACTTGGAAGCTTTGCTTTATTACTGCTCCTTGTCAGCTTCTTTCAGAGGTCCCACAACTTCTGTCAAAGGCGCTGCTTGCTGAAGCTGTCAGCTCTCACACTCAGCCAGACGCTCAGCAGACCTACTCCTAGTAGGTACACAGGAAAACACTCATGACTTCAAGCCTCATGCTGATGCTGTTCCATTAGAAAATTGTTTTCATGCTCACCCGTCAGTCCTTGCAGATAAAGTGAAAAAAAATGAGAATTATTTTATGGGCCCAAGATATTCAGAATGAAATGGTGGGCTGTTTGCATTAAGCACTGCCCCATTTCACCCCCAGTCACCTTTAAGCTTGAATTTGATTTCAGCTTGGGAAGACAGGACCATTTTTACATTTTCATTAGGAAAAAGAAAGAGGAAAGATATATTCCTCTTAGGCTTTTATAAGTTAGGAAAAAACAATTCCTGGTGCTCTGCCACAGGTTCACAAAGGTATTGCTTGGAAATAGAGTGAGGAGAAATGTAAAAAAAAAAAAATTAGATTTGCTCTAGCTGGGAAAAGGCAACACCAAATAGCGAACACTATCTCTGTATATAAAAAATGACCTTTCATTTAATAATTTTGTAGGTAAACTATGTAATTATATTTACACTTATAGAAGATGGTCAGAGTTTCCTTATTGGTTTGAAATTCCATTAAATAAATTGTAATAGTTCCTAGGTTAAGCTTGATTTAAATTTGCATACATTTTCATATATTTAGCAGAAATAAAAGAAGGCTTGCTGCTACCAGAAAGTCATTAAGGTATTAGTTTCTCTAAGACGACAGATCTTCAGAAAATGCAAGAAAATGAGAAAAAATATAAATAAGGTGAGCTTATTCTGTAATTCCTTTATATAGCTGAAGAGCATCTATTGCCTGTGAAATGAGTGATTTCTTATGAGAACACAGAGCAATAGGAGCTGATATTAGTAAATGTAAACATGTCTATTAGGCAGGAAAACCTGGCATCTAGTTGAGATCTATTTCTTTCACTCTTAAAAATTAAAAATTTAGTAATTATTGACAGAGAATATACCCCTCCTCTGTTCTGCCTCTACTCCCTCATAGAAATTGCAGCTTCATTTGTCCATTTACTATTGTAAGGGCTTGTCTGCTTTTAACATAGAAATTGATTTTTCCTCTCTCTCTTTCTCTCCCACCCTTCTTGCATGCAGGCTGCCCCCCCCCCTTTTCTCTTTTCTGAGGAAGAACTGAGTTTCTTTTCTGCCAATTGATGGCGTCTTTCTTTCCAAGAATGCTATTTCATTTGTGTCTGAACTTCTGCTTCCTGAAAAACAAGTACCTGTCAAAATGAAACAAAATTAAAATGAAACAAAATTTTTAATTAAAATTAAAAGTTTTTAGGTGTTCTGTTAGGCTGTCTGTTCAAGAACCATTTGCATATCTGTGTCTGGTCAGTTTAAAGGGCAGAGGGAAATGGGTTGAAGAAACCATATGTGCAAAATGCTCATTGCCTAGTTGTTGTTGGTAGGTTTATCACCTCCACCTTGTAGCTGCAGTTGGGTGAAAGAGTTGCTAATCTTAGAAGATTCAAGAGGTTAAGTAATTATGAACTGATAAGGCTTTTCCGTTTAAAGGGGGTTCCTTTTCCAGGCCTAAATTGCCTGAGTTCCTTCAATAAACCTTTCTCTTGCCCATGGCCTCTGCTCCTCATACCCGGTTTTGCAAGCCACCAAAGTCCATTTTCCCCAGGCATGTAGGAGGCAGAATGAGGATTGGGCATCTGAGCCCCAGGGACATGTTTTTTACACCTTGTTTTATAGTCTTTAATGTAAGAATAGCTTTTGTCAGGAGCAAAAACTGTTGTCATCATCTTTTTCCTCTTTCTCTTTCTTTTTATTTTCTTTCTATTTTCTTTAACTATCTTAAAACTTGTTTCCACAAATACAGATAATTTCTATTGACTCCAAGTGCAATCACATTTTCTAGCAGCTGTGATATAATCTCTTGCATATAAGGTGTTTTGTTTGGGGGAGAAAATATCTGCATTTAGCCAAATGTTTTTGCTGTTCTAATTCATCTACTGGAGAGGTTTCCTTCACCCTTTCCCATCAGGCTAACTTCCCAAATGTAACAGATGCCACTCTCAAGCGCTCCTTTTTGCGGCTTCTCTTTATTCAGCCTCGCATATTTCTCCTCATGATCTGGGTTTCCATAGAGAGAGGAATAAAAGAGGAGACCATGGTCACAAATCCCCTGCCCCATGCAAAATAAAAGAGCCTCATTCAATAGATGACCCCGTCTGGACATGGGAGAAAAATAAGTCCATAAGAAGCTACTGTTGCACAGAGTGGGTCACTTATTTTTCATAGACTGCACATCGCCTAAACTCAGTTAACAAACCTGCTTTTTCAGGCATCTAGGCTAAATACACACCTAGCTGTGTGCCTCATCCTGATCTTGAAGTACACTCCTGCTTCTCAAATATTATTCTCCCCACCCACTCTAAAGGCAAGATTTCGATAACATCTTAATAGCTGTCAAAACTTCTGGGCTATGGCAGCTAAAAGTCGCCCTGGAGAGGAAGCTGGCTTTAAACTGTAACTGTACTGAGTCTACTACCTATCTCTAGCAAGGCAAAACAGATTTCAGTTCTCATCCCAGGCAAAGACCAGACACTATCTTCATTCCTTCTTAAGTTGCTTCACACTCCAGTTCAGCACCCTACTTTTTCCATTCCCTTTGCTTATTTTCTAAGAGGACAATTCAGATTATTTATAAAAGAAAGTCAGACTGGCCTCATTAACTTAAACTTTCATTAATTTATTTGTAACTTGAGGCTTCGAAGTTGCTTTCCTTCCTCATAAGATTTAAGGATACCAGCTCTGGAGCATCTTCCCAGATACCCACGCCCCTTTCTTTCCAAGGAAGGAAAGACTCACAAATGAAATTAAACAGATTAATGTGGTTCAAATCCCTGCTCCTGTGGAAGAATGCGAGCATGGACACAAATGGGCACCCTGCACCTAGGCCCATTGGGAAAGTGCCACAGCCATGGGGATAATGCCTCTCTCAGATATCATATTCGAGTGTAAATTAGGAAGCAGTTGCTTATGCCTATAATTTGGTTATGGGGGATGGAAATCACCTAAGGCTAGAACTAGTGAATATGGGGTCAAGAGAATCATGAACCTCTTGAAATTGTACATGAATTTTTGTGTTTGTGTGCAGATAAATATTTTTTGAGGGATCAGTTCATAGCTTTCATAATATTTTCAAGGAACTCCTCAAAAGGAGGAGGGTGGGTAGGGGTGGGTGTCCAGAAAGATGCCCAAAAGGTCAAATTTGATTATATGTAATTCAACATGAAGATCCAGGTAGTAGGTCTTGGTGTGACCTCTAGATGAAAATTTCACCTTTGACACAAGTTTACTCTGGAAACAGAACATGTTGGATCAAGCTTGATAGAGACAAGTGTACATTTTCTTTTTAAAACTGGGAGCTAATACAGGAAAATAAAATATAAAACAGCTACTCAAAGCAGCAGACAAAGAAACTCTTTTCCTGATGTTTCTGTTCTTTAAGCTCAAAAGATGTTTGAGGTGTGAGATACAGTTGTCACTTAGTGCACCAGCCCACTGTAATTGTTCTAATAATCTTCTTTTTTCTCTGTTATTCTTCTTTGCAAACTGCATGGGAGGCAAGTAAGGGGCTCATAATATTCTGGGAGAGAAATTTTTAAAAAAGACTTAGACAGCAAGACATTGGCCAATGCTGACTCTGTTGGCATTCCTTGAATATGTGAAAAGGGATCTTTAGAGAAAAGGGAAGAGATGGAGAGGTGGGGGTGATAGCACACAACAAATACTACAGCAGAAATAAGATAACTTTAAAATAAAGTATTCATGATTTAAAATTTAATACAAATACTCCAGTCTATGAGAACACCAGCCATTTGCTAGCAAAATGGAATGTCAGTGGGGAGGTGCTAAGGCATTGTGTGGCTAGGGCTGTGGAAAGCCTGGTTAGAAGACAGACAGAGACAATAGCGACCCTCACTACCAAGGGAAAGAATGCTTAAAATGCTCAGTTTCCTAGCTAAGTTGGTCAGATTGGCTGATTCAGTCTCAATTTCTCTTCTGGGGTAAATTCCACCCCCTGCAGTTGTAATTGTCAGTGAGTGAGCTCTGATCTTACAGGGTTCCAGGAAAATAACTCTACCCAGATAGTACTCAGCAGCCCTGTC